ACCTCGGTTATAACGAAACCTCGGTTATAACGAAGTCCATTGAAGGTCCCACAGACGAAATCGACAACGTTCATGTCCCTAATCCGTCATTCTTATCGGAAATTTCCGTCATCGGAAAAATTAGCGTTGGCGAGCCATAACTTTATATTTACCGGATTCGGCATCCCTTGAGAGTCATGTGGGTGTGGCTGGAGCAATGTTAGGGAGGAATAATCCCCAGTAAGTAAGATCACCTTATCTTCAGTCGCCATTTGCATTTCTCGTTGACAACATGACCAATGGAAAACGAAAGAGGCAAGCCTTCACGATTGAAAGGAAAGTGTGCTTGATTAGTTTAATAGAACAAGCTCGAAGTGAAACTAACGTCGACAAAGCCTTGCTAAAGTATAAAGTAGTTCAAGGTCCAAAGAAGTGCGAACATCACGATTAGCCGGTCAATCTTGAAACTGAAGCTAGTGCAGTATGACCAATGTAAACTGGAGTTGTAACGTTATATAGCATCAATTTTGAAAACAGGAAAACGGAGTGCCAATCAAGGCAACCTCCGTCATAACGACGGTTTTTACCTGGTCCCTTCGATGACGTTATAACCGAGTCGACTGTATAGATTCTCAGGCCCAGCGACCGATGATTCCACCAGTGAGAAGGACCAGAGGCCACGACTCATCCTCCTAGCCCGATCACCTCCGCTTCCCTTCTCGTATCGCGGAAGATACCAGACCGTGTGGAAAGTGAAAAACTCGGAGCATCAGCGCGTTCGATCGGAATCCCGTTTCGGTCCCACGAGTTTATCTCCGAGCAAGTTTCATATCGCCACCACGGCGGAATCTCCTTCAGCCGCTTCGGAAGTAACTCTTTTCTTCTCGGCGCGTGCGTCGACGTGACGGGCTGTGCGAATTTCGTCGACCGAGCAGCTCTCTACCCGAGGCAAACGGGTCCGTTATACGAGCGGCGCGAGCTCGCATTCCAGAAACTCGCGAATGCTAACCTCGGGGCCTGACAAATTGGTTACAGCGGGGGAATTTTTTCAGTATATTCCAAAAAAATGTACATAACAGGAGAAAATGTGTCGAAAGTAGAGCATTCACCAGTGGGACATTCCCGGCGATAAAAGAGTCAAGACTCGCATCATTCGAAGTATTAATATTTGCCCTGTCGAATGATGAAATTTCAAGTGTAGCTATAGTGAGTGACATTCCTGCACCCCTTCCTTGGGTGCAGTGGGTATACTACTTAGTTAACCTTCTTAAATAAAACACCGTCCGAGAAGTGAATGCTTGTCAGTTAGTGTCAGTATTGTTAGTTGTCTTACTGTTTGAGTTCAGCATGAAACGTAACATCTATTTTCTAATTACTCTAATGAGTGTCTTCAGAAGAAAGATTAAATTCCAAAGTAAGGGCTCAATAGTTTAAAAGACATTTTGGAATAGCATCAAAATGAATTGAAGATCCTCACTGAACGTGTCAGCGTTACGGAAAAGTACTTATTCCCGTTTTACAACCCTCTCTTGCTCCGGGGGGCAAAGGACAGAGCTAGCTGTGCTGCTGCGCAGCAGCTAATAGTTTATCCCGAGACAACGTATTCGTGCGTACGCTTGCTCCTTACCTCAAGAGACACGCAGCAGCATTCGTGGCTATGACGTCATCGTCAGGAAGGAGGTGCCGGCGCAGGAGAACGAACGGCAAAAGGACAGTTTGGAGACTTCGTTTGCTCCAGGAAGAAGGCTTTTGTGCACAATCTTAAGTGTTTTTTCAGAGTGCGGCGCTTTCGTTCATTCAGAAAAGGAGGACGAAAAATTCCACAGAGGAATTTTTTTTATTGCGACAGAACCCCAAAGAAAGAAAGAAAAAAGTGTTCTTCCTCGAGCGAGCACGCACGTCTACGAGGGTGACTCGACGAAGCCACGGAAGAATCAACGGGCGACACCGCCGAAGACGCCTTGGAGGAGAGAAAAGAAGAAGTTGGTCAGAGTTAAAAAAGTGTTCTTCCTCGAGCGAGCACGCACGTCTACGAGGGTGACTCGACGAAGCCACGGAAGAATCAACGGGCGACACCGCCGAAGACGCCTTGGAAGAGAGAAAAGAAGAAGTTGGTCAGAGTCGCCACGCCGCTCCTGCGTCGACAGACGTAGCCCAATCGCTCAGAGTAGAAGTTTTCGTCGGCCCCGTAGATCGTCGACCACTGGTTCGGGAACATGACCACGCAGTTCCCAGACGTGGTGTCCGGGTATCTCGTGCACCAGTCGGAAAAGGAGAAGGGAGTGGGACTCGCCCAGGTGAACGGGGCAGCCGTCGAGACTCGAGACGCTCCGATCCACATCTGCGTCGACTGGACGTTGCTGCTCGAGTCGAAAGCTGCGTTCTGCACTTGCTCTAGAGACGAACGAATATTCACGACATGAAAATGATCATACGACTCTTTTATCTAGCAGTCTGCGACGTCACATCTTGCCGTAAAAGAGAAGCTGGCGCGTCTTGCATTAGTTTCGTTAAAAACAAATTTTCCCACCTCGTCCTGAATGTATTCGATCCAAAAATATTAATGTCGTTCGCCAAATTACAATAGTATACACATTTTCTCAGATCGTGAGCTAGGAGAAAAAAAAAAGATACTGCATGATGCGATACATTTGATATTAGCGGCAAACTTTCACGTAAGACTATAATTGATTGAATCCAGCACTAACGGAAAAAAATTCGTAGTAGACGACTATATCGTTCCCGAATGAGAAGAATCATAAAACACGAACGACTTTTCATCTTATCGATCTAGAGGAAAGGAAAACGAAGCTCCCTCACTATGGAAATAGTCGGCAATGGCATCTCGAACTATTTGGGTGTCGATTGTGGCCAGGGTGCCAGTGCCAGCGACGCAGGCCGCTAAGGCGTCGGCCCGTGTCACCTTGGCGTTTAGCTGGATATTGAAGCATCGATTTCCGCTTGCAAGTGGGTAATCGCTTGTGCAGCCTCCGGTCAGCGGCAGCGTCTTTTCACAGATGTAACCGTACTGGCTATTGCAGTCCGCATTCCGCCATCGTCGCGGGAACATGTAGTACACCTCTGTGGGACGAGTTCGAGAACCGTGACGGCACGTCGAGCACATAGCCTGGAACTCACCAAAGAAATGTGGAACTCACGGTAATTTCCAGTCCCAGGGGCATTATCGTCGTTGTTGAAATCGTTTGGTCTGACTGTGTCGTGATTGACCAAGACACCGCCGCTTCTGTGAGCCCCGAGCCAGACCATCGGCTGGTTCACGTTGGTCCCGATGAACCTGTTCTCGCCCGCATCGGCTGGATGAGTGATGCTGCCTCCCAACGCGATGCATCGTGCTCTCGCGTCCGCCCAGTTGGCAGTGTTCGTCGAAAACAGGAAGCAATAACTACCGTATGTCTGCCAGCCGGTGGTGCATTTGCCCCCCATCACGACGGCAGGTAGGAGAAGGGCGACGATCGCTGCTTTCGGCAAGTGCATCACTGGAAAAGTAAGACTCGTTTTTACGATTAAAATCGACAGAAATATTAAAATTTGAGGAAACGAGAAGTAGTTCGGCGATCGAGCGTCCGGTATTGACGATCCGAGGAAATTAGTCTCTAAGTCTTCTTTCGTATGCGAAATAGCGACTATTAGAAATCGATGTCGATCGTCGGAATACAGTCAGGTGTTTTTAGTTTCTAAGAGAGATCCAGAGACGCGGCTTCGTAGACTATCTCAGACAAGGACATTCATTAAATGACGATTACAGACACTAGACACCATACAAAGAATATATATCCATTACTAATGCCAAAGGCTCAAAAATCATCGCCGCAAAAACGGGAGAGAAGGGGGGGAAGAAAAAGAGAGAGAGAGAGACTCACTATTGGAGAGTAAGGAAGAGTAGCTCGCTGAAAGTGACTTGTAGACGGGAGAATCGACGGGAGAACACTGAGGAGATGCCCCGGAGCCTCCCCCTTTTTAAAGCCTGCGGATTCGTTCCCCAGTTGAACCCGGACCTCCAAGTACGCCTTGCGTTCAGCGAGCCGAGTTCTCGTGAATCCTGGTGGCAAGAAAAGCACGCCCGTCCCTGCGGATCATGTACGACTCGTCGCCTTACAGTACCCGGCTACGGTGCAATTCTTCGTCGAGCGTTTCTTCCGAGATTTTTCACGTCGCGGAAGTACCTCGGTTTTCTTTTCGAATCGAAGAGACCGCTTCGCACAACGTGTGCATATAAGAGGAACCGCATCGATGTAATTATGAAATCGTTACGCTGTCGAAAGCGCTATCTCCTGCGTGAGCGAATAAAACATTTCCACGTAGAAACGTATGTGAAAAGAACGTTCAATGTCTATCGGTCTTACACTGAAAGTCCCAAGCATATAATTAACGTTATTATAAGCATGTGCCTTCTTATATTCCTATCATTGTGCTAATTGAATATCTGCGTTACCTATAATCCAAGCGTATTTGTTATTTATAAAAGTGGCCCAAAAAAGACACTTTTTCGATGCGCATTTTAGGCGTGATGTTCAATGAATTTTTTTCCCCCGGTTGCATGTAACGGAAAGATTGAATTTGGGTTGCGAAAAATTGTTGCTGCTCTCACCGACCGCCTACGTCGGCAGGCACATCGGAGCGACGTCGGCGAGTGTAATGCCGAATTTTCTTAACTGAAATTCGGCGTTAAAGATATTTCTGGTTTGTAAAAATGATTTTGTAGCCGAGTCTTTCCTCATTCCATTACATAACCGGGGGGAAAAAATCCTTGAAGCGTCTAAGAAAATTGTGCGTGCGTGCGTGCGTGCGTGTGTTGGGGGGGGGGGGGGGGGGAGGGGTTGGAATACTCTTTCCCTTAATGAAGGGCTGCGGGGCAGCCTGGCAATTATTGAGCACGACCTTCGAGGGTGACTTAGTTCAATATATGAATCGCTAGATTATTCAATACAATTTGGGTCACAAGTCTACAGAATCCATATAATATAATCTAATGAGGTCCGTGGTGGTCGGTGGCATGCGCACGCACACATGACGCGACGCGATCGCGTGTTCTCTCCCGTAGCCATAGTAATTGGGTTGCGACCTATACATATTGTCACACTTTTTACATGACCTGTGTCTATTGTAATTGACTGTAGTCCTTGAACTCACATGACAACGTAGTTTTCTTCGCCGTGCAGTCAAGGGTGAAGCAATTATACCCCTTGACGAGAGTTGGCGCCACTCCCGCCGCGAGACTAACCCGAGACCCAAGGAAGTCGGTTCTTCGATACCTCATGTCCACTGTATCGACTCCCTGTAGCCCTGTACCCACCGTATGCAGACGTGTTCTTCAGTCGAGCTATAATGGAATATAATTAGAACGGGTTGGAGAAGTTGAGGGGGAAAGGGCAGCGAAGCGAACGGAATCAGTCAGAGGCCTGAGTGCTACGTTGCCAAACCTATGCAGCATTGCCAGATATTCTTCTACGCCCTACTCCTTCCACTCCGATGAAATTAGAATCCTGCAAAGCTGATCTTCACCTGTTTTATCGGCACCACGGCTCGCGCAGGTCTCTTTATTCATTCAGATCTCTTGCTTCCAATATTTTTCTTTTCTCCTGCCCCCGGGCTTCCCCGACAGTGGTATACGAGCTATTAAACAAGAACTCATTGACTTGCATACGTTTTTTATCGTATGTTACTAGCTGGTACTCGTGAAACATTTACGTCTTCGCATTTGAGGTTAACGGACTTCCGTTTCAAACAAATTTAAATGAAACACACAGCTGGAGTTTTCAACGGCCATATTTCGAATCAATAATATTAGGTGCGCCCCGTAATTCCCCCCTCCCTTGAATCAATCCCAGAATTTCCCTATACAGTATACCAAAATACAGGCTTGATTCTATACATTTAGATGAGAAAAATCGTACGAATTAGGAACTTTCTGGTATCTGATGAAGATGCCTCCCATCCTCATAGATTTCGAATTTCCCTTTTTAGCTCCCGAGTTTGAAATCCTTTGGACTGACCGACCAGCTGACCCGGCACTCTTAGAAAAAAAGGGAGTGATTTTTCTCAAAAAAGAGAGTAAAATCGCTAACTCCTGTTTCACTCCCCTTTCACTCTGGGAAAGGAACGGAACAAATTTGCACCTTCACCAAGGAATAAAATTGCTCTCCTCCTCCGAGAGAAAAATACGCTCCCCTCAGAAAGAGAGGGATGTCATGCAAATACACAAATCTTTATATATACTTTGTGTCGCTTTCGTTCTCATATAGTACAGGCAGACAACTTACCTATGACTGTACCGGTTACAGTACATGTCAGAGAATGGACCACCTCTTATGATTCCGTGAAGCGTCCGAGATGTCAGTCCTTCGTTACCTCATTCACTCATCGATCGGATGGTCGAATGAAGTTCGCGGACGCCCTCTTTAGTATTCTCGATCTCCTCTAAGGATAAAACCTTCCGAGTTCCAAAAGGGTTCTCAATGGGAATATGAGCTTCTTCATGGCCTGGACGCTATGAATATATGGATAACAAATGAAGTGTCCGTGTTTATTGATTCCTATAATGAGACTAGGCGAGATATATATCGAGATACTAAACAATCCTGTGAGGGACGATTCCAGAGAGGGAAGGGAACTTTTGCGTACTGTGCGAAAAGCGAGACCCTTACCTCCATCTAGTGGTCTGGCGAAGAACTTTCAGGTTTTCACTTCAATACGAGCGATGGGGGCGCATTTGGTGAGTTATAAGAGAGTAAATTTGAACTTGTTCACATTTCACTCCCTAAACGCTCGGAACGTTCTAAGAATGTGGGGTGGTGCGATTGGCCCGACACGACCCGCGGGGGGGGGGGGGGGGGGGGGGCGATCTGTGAAGCTCGGTCCGGCGATCGAGTTTTTGGGTCTAGTAGGACCACGATTCGAATCGGACCAATCGGTTCGGTTTTGGAAAAGTTCATCCGCGCAAGCCTCAGGCGGACAGGAAGACGTAACCTGTGAAATATTCACGTCTGATTGTGGCAAATGGATTTCAGTCGAATAGCATTCAAATGAAGCATTTCGCAGGATTTTTTGAACCGCCAAATTAGGGGTCAGAGTATGCGAGATTCTTCCGTCATCAGAGGCCCCCAATTGACTTTGAACCCAAAAAACCCCCAACCCCAGTGCCAATAAATAAAAAAATTTCTTAAGCGAGATCCCCCCGACGGAGTGAGACTCGTCTCACTCGAGTACGGGGGATGATTCCGAGCTCCGCAGGGAATGGGGATGAGCCGGGATGAGCTCTATCAGGAAGACCCGACCGCGGGATCGGTTGGCAATCGAGTTTCATGTTGGGTGCAGGCGAATACGCTAGAATACACTCAGGAGTCTCTTTCTCGAGCCATTTACTGCTCTTGGCAATAACGACGCCTCGTTCCGTCAGCGTTCGATGCGATCACGTCATTAAATGATGTCACTCTCGGGCAAGAGCTACCAGTGGAACGTTGCGAACTACGAGAGCACCGAACAGGCCTACACCAACGTGACGTCATGGGACGTCGGGTGGAAGCCTCGGTAGAGCCGTTCAGAAAAAAGACGAACCCGGAGACCCGAAGTTTAGAGCCCTAAGCGGGTTGCGGGCCGGCCCGACCAGACCCGCGTGTAGGATCCACTAAAATCTCGTTTCGGGTCGAGTAGGACCACGACTCGAATCGGGCCGATTCGGAAGAGTCGACCCGTGCAGGCCTCCGGCGGAGAGATAGGAGTACGTCGGCTATTATTATATACGATATGATAGAAAACGTATGGTCGAGTGCGATGTGAAAGCGGTGATAAAGGCATATTTGTACAGTGTTATAGGCTTCGCAAACGCAAAGTGACAGAAATGGGATACATTATAGTTGACTTAACTTCAGGAAGCGATGAAAAGTGGCGAGAAATTTTTGAGGACGGAAGGCTCACGCCAGATCTCCAAAAATATTTCACAAAGGCATGCCATGTTTTGAGTAGATCAAAACATGGGCGAAATGCGTTACATTTGGATGTCTGGGGATTTGTGAGTTTTCCTCATTGTTCCTTATGGTGGTGACTCGGTGAAACATAGCCAAGATTAAAAGTCGTTTGAACACCATCTGTGGAGAGATCCGTGAATGCTGCTCGCCGTTCCAGATCTGGAACGCGTAACCTAAGTGCCATTCGAAGATCTAGAACTTGAACGCCTAGTAATACGTTCACGTCCTCTTCCTCCAAAAAACGGGTAACCAAAACTATTTAAAGGAACAGGCATGGAGGAGCAATCATCGGCTCGATGGAGCGCGATGAACTTCTGCATCAGATCCCCTAAGCTTGGCTAAGCGAGGACCCCTTCACCTCGGCCGCAGGATCTTTCCTCTGCGTTTTCTTGCTGGCTCCGCGCTGCTCCGTCCAAATTTTCATGGATCGTGACCAGGCCCAGATACAGTCACGAGTTCGCCCTTTGTATTTCACCGTGCCGGCGTAAGGTCCCCAAGGAGCAGGTTGCCCCACCGGCGGAGTTACCGCCATCTAGTGGTCGCAAAATGCAGCAAGATCTTCTTCCACCCGTCACTTGTGTCATTTGGGGATTCTGCGCATGACTTCAGCTCACTCGAAATCGGACACCCTAATCCTTACCAGGCACTTGCATTAGCAGTTTCAATATTTTCAATAATTTCGTGATCAAATATTAACATTCGGTTTCCGTAGTAGTACTGAAAGAGTTCTCTTTCGCCGATTTATACGCTAACAACAAGCAATTTCCGTGTTGCATTCTCTGTTTTCAATCGCAATACTTCTTTTGATTCATTATTGATACGTTTGAAAGGTGAATCTGACCTTTCAACTCAAGATGGATTTATGTAAAATCAAACTCATAACGCAGCAACGAAATATTACCAGGAAAAGCAAACCCTTACGCTTTCGGCGAGAAAACGGGTCGATGGCTAGATGAGCGCGGTGTTCCTGTGACGGAAAGATAACCAAAGACGGCGTAATCAAGGTGAAGTGGCCCTGGAAACACCGCAGTGTCACTGCGAACG